GCCCAACCCCTTTAGGAATTGTCATAATCATTTTTATCATTCACAATGCATGGTAAATTAACAGTTAAAATTATTTAGTTTATATTGAATAAAATTTATTTTAATAACGTTTAACTACCATTAAAGTGTTATTTTTCTCATTTAAGAAATGCTGCTTAATTTGTTTAAATTAAATAAGAAAGTATGATTTGCTAGCAAATTTGAAAGTGATATATTTTTTAGGCAGGCTGAATAGATATTAAAATATAAATTGAAATTTAACTGTGTGTAATAGCATTAAAGGAGCCCTAGTGGTGCAGTGGTTAAGAATTCGGCTACTAACTAAAAGGTCAGCAGCTCGAATCCACCAGCACTCCTTGGAAACCCTATGGGGCAGTTCTCCTCTGTCCTGTAGGGTCGCTATGAATTGGAATCGACTCGACAGCAACAGTTTTGGTTTTTAATAGCATTAAAACGAATCAAAACTGCTGTCATAGACTGACACTTGGAGTTTGTGCACTTTGCAAAACCTAATTCTAAGTGATAACTAACAGTAGGATTTAAGCTCCTATTCACAAGCTCTTCTGCACAGATCCACAGGGTGGGCGTCAATAGTCCTCGTCCATCCATTCATACATTCATCAAGTGCGTGGTGATGGTCTCAGTGTGGGCGTGGATAGCCCTCGTCCATCCATTCGTTTGTTCATCATGTGTGCAGTGATGGTCTCAGTGTAGGTGGGGGTGGTCCTCATCCATCCATTCATTCATTCATTCATCAAATGTGCAGTGATTGTCTATGCTGGTTCCTGCCCGAGGTGCTGGAGGAACTAGAGCTAGCTATCTGCTGCAAGTGTACCCTGCCTTCAGGGAGTGGGATGAGAGGGGCAATTAATAAAATATTTTGTTAAAAATATAAATTTAAAGAAGTAATAAGTGTCATGAATAAAAATATAAACAGAGTAAGAGGACAGAGAATAAGTTGGGAAACAAGGTTTTTTAAATAAGGTGAAAATTGCTGAGGAGATAAAATTTGAACAAAAACCTAAATGGAGAGAATGACCACCCCAAAATCCAACAGAAAATGTTCCAGGCAAAGGGAAGAGCAAGTGCTGATACCCTGAAACAGGTGTTCGCCATATTTCAGGAATGGAAGTCCAGTATGGCTAAAGTGATTGTTCCAATATCATGGGAAACCCTTGGAGAGTTGTGAGCAGGAGAAATACTGAGGTGATCTGATTTACAGTTTCTAAAGATGGCTTTGTTGAGTGGTAAGCAGATTATGGGGAGGGTTTGGAATTACAAACAGACCCATTATGAGGCTTTTGCATTAGTGAGAGATGGTGGCTTGGACTGAGGTGGTTGCTGCGGAAATTAGGAGAGTGTTCACGTTTAAGAAATGTTTCAGAGGTAGACTAATAGGATTTGCTGATGAATTGGATTGGGGGTTTGAGGAAAAGAGGGGAATCAGGTTTACTCCTAGGATTTTGGCCTAAGTAACTGATACCATAGACAGGGATAGAGAAGACTAGAGAGAGGCAGGTTTGGGGAGTGGTAAATCAGAGTTACGTTTTAGATATGTTAAGTTTGAGATGCCTATTCGATATGAAGGTGAAAGGGTCAGGAGGCAATTGGATGTACAGAGTTGGAGCTCAGGGGAGAGGAGGTGCAAAGTTCTATGAAGATTATTTAAAGGATCTCACTCTATAAAAGTATTTAAAACCATAGGAGTATGTGAGATCCCCTAAAGGAAAAGAAGTGATAGAGAAGAGGACCTAGGATCAAGCCCTGACATGAGTCACATGAGGGGGCTGAGAAGTGGCTAGTGAATCAAGAGGGAAATCAAGAAGACAGTCGTGTCTTGGAAGCCAAATATATAAATCATTTCAAAAAATAGGGAATCACCAGTTGTAATAAATGATGCTGAGAAGTTGAACCCAATGAATACTGAGAAGTAACCATTAAATTTTGTATGAGGCCATCACTGGTCACCTCAGTAACAGTGGTTTCTCCGGAGTGGTGAGAACAAAAGCCAGATTGGAGTGGGAGGAGGAGGACCTAAGGGCGGCCATGGAGAATGTGAGGGCAGACAGTCTTTTTTTACCATAAAGAAATAAGGGAGTGCTGATAGTGGCAGAGAAATCTAGGGATATTTTGCTTGTTTTTAAGATGTGAGGTATTCTAGCAGGTTTGTATGTTGATGGAAAGATTCAAAAGAGAAGGAGATACTGATGTAGGAGAGTGTGAGATTATTTATAAAGGCAAAGTTCTTGGTTAGATAGGAGCAGGTAGGGTCTAGTATTAAGTGGACATTTTCAGACAAACAAGGCCTGGGAGAGTTTGCCACTAAAATAACTTCATTAAAGGAAATTCTTAAGGATGCATTTCATGAAGTAATAAAATGATCCCAGATGGCAAGTCTGAGATGTGAGGAGGGAGTGCAAAAAAAGTGGTAAAAATGTTGATAAATAGACACTTATTCTGCAAAACAAAAATAATAATGTGGTATGGGTTTAAAGGGGAGAGAGAGGGTTTCAATACATGGCAATAATAATATAAATCAGAAGAACATTGGGTTAAAGGGTTCTAAGATCCTTGTATTTGAGAGGATAAAAATACTAACTTCAGACTTCAATAATTTAAGTATGCATTTCTAAGGTAATAGCAAAAAGAACAGAAACAGGGAACCTAGAGTACTAGAAACAGAACAACAAGCATGCAATTAAAGAGAATGTTGACACGTTGTGGAAAATGTAACTAATGTCATGACCCATTTGTGTAGAAATTGTCAATGGGAACTAATTTGCTATGTGAACTTTCACCAAAACACCGTAAAATATTATTTAAAAAAAAAAAAGAATAGAAACAGAATTTTAACCTTCAAAGTAATAAAGATAAAAAATGGAAGCAGAAATTAAAAGAAACAAATGGCAGCAAAAATACAAAACAAGATGGAATTATAATTCATAATATGTCAACATTTACATAAATTTGAGCAAATGCTCCAATAAAAAAAAATCCAATTACATGTTATTTAGAAAAGATGCATGAAAACCAAGTTTAAAAAAATAAAAGGAAAAGTATTTACCAGGAAAACGCTAACAAAGAGAGCTGTAGTACTGATATCATACAAAATAGATTTTAAAGCAAAAGCATTATTAGAGACAAAGACATAGAACACTGTGCCCAGCAATTCTTTCAAAGTACAAATGGATCATTTATTAAATAATGACCACATATTGGACCATAATGCAAATTTCATTGTAGTTTAAGGAGTTTAAAATATGTAGACCATGGTCTCTAACCACAATGTACTTAGGCATAAATAAAAATGAAAAGATAACTAGAAATATCTCACAAATTTGAAAATTAACAAACACAGTCCTAAATAACCTTTTGGTCGAAGAAGAAATTATAATAGAAATTAGAAAATATTTTAAACTGAATAGCAAAAATGCATATCAAAACTAGTGGGGATATGACTGAAGCAATATTTATTTCCTCTATACTAGGCATCCTTTGCAGAACCAAACATCTGAATACAGAATTCGTTTGCAATTATTATATATTATATCTTAAGCATCATATTTGCTTTTTGTTACAGTATACCAATTACCATTAAGAGTGAAGTATTAAGCACTAAGATCTACCCTCACCCCAGATTTATTTGTTGTATTTGCATAACTGACAAGTCTAATTTTTCAACAAGTATTTAATAAGTGCCTGCTGTGGACAATGCAAGTCCCTGGTGGCACAAATGGTTTGCACTCAGCTAGTAACTGAGAGGTGGTTCGAATCCACCCAGCAGTGCTGTGGAAGAAAGGCCTAATGATCCACTTTCATCAGATTAAAAACCAGTTGCTGTGGAGTCAATTCTGACTCATGGCAACACCATATATTGCAGAGTAGAACTGCCCTCCGTAGTGTTTTCATGACTGTGACATTTCAGAAGCAGATTGCCAGGTCTTTCTTCCGAGGTGCCACCCAGGGACTCCTCTGTAATATCCTCTTACCAATATATATACCTCCTTTAGAAACTCAGCCAGAAATGTTCTCTGATGTCATATTCAGCCTTGAATAGTCACCATGTCTTATTTCCTTTATGTAGAATGTAAATTCCTGGAGGGGAAGGAATGTTGTATTTAATATTGAAAAGATTTTTAAAAATCTAAAACCTTTGCCGTCTAGTTGATTCCAACTCTTGGCAACCTCATGTTTTAGAGAGTAGGACTGCACTCCGTAGGGTTTTCTTGGCTGTAATCTTTATGGAAGCAGACCTCCAGTTCTTTCTTCCGTGGTGCTGCTGGGTGGGTTCCACCCTACAACATTTTGATGAGGAGCGGAGCACAAACTGTTTGCATGACCCAGGGAGCCACTGAAAATACCATATAGTATTTTTTAAAGGGTTTTTCACATCTGTTATTCAATCTTTAAATCCTCTCAAGGTCTTAATACAATGCATTGACCACATCAAAACCCAGAGCTGTTGCCATCCAGTTGATTCTGACTCACGGTAGCCCCATGTGTGTCAGAGGAGAACTGTGCTTCATAAGGTTTTCAATGGCTGTATCTTATAGAGTGAAAAACAAAAAAAATCAAACCCGTTGCAAAGAAATGTAAGCTGGCTTTGGTTTCCAAAGCCTGGTGACAGCTCTAGGAGATGGTAGCACTAAGCAGTAAAAACCCTCCACAGAGATTAGAGTTCATGGCTCCAGAGCAGGGTGACAATGGGATGCAGTTTTTAAAATTCTAATTCATCTCTCAATTTTTAATTTCAAATGTATTATTTGGGCTTACAACCAAGGAACTTTTTTGATAATATGTCCATATATATTATCTGGATTTGTAGTTTAAGTAATTAGTCACATGGATCTTTTCCCAAAAAGTATTATTCCTAAAACAGAGATTTGAGGAAAGTTAGTAAAATAGACTATTGGGACTCAAGAAAGTTCTTCCCTTAAGCCTATCTGAAAACTTTTAAAATCGATGTATAAGTTTGCCCTTCCTGTCTTTGTCTTTTTCAGTTCACAGAAATCAGTCACCGAATATTATGTTCATACGATACAAATATAGATGAGCTCTTTTTAGAAATCGATCACTGCTTAGCTATAAACAGAAGCATTCTTCAGCAGCTGGAGGAAAAGTGTGGTCGTGAAATTACAGAAGAGGACTGGGAGAAAATTCAAGTTCAGGTAGGTTTAGCGTGATGGCCTCATCAATAAGCGCTCTGGTCACCAAGAGCATGGAACATAGTGACATTGGAACGGAAGCTCAGCTAGATTAATTTTACCAGTTTCTGGGGTGCTCATTTTAGGGTACAGCCTGTGGTGCCACGCCCAGAACCCTCTGCCTGGCTGTGGCCTGGCACGGCGATGGGCTCCCTTGAGAACAGAAATTATTTCCAAGGTCCCTTCAATTAAAAATTCTGATTTAATGATGCCATTTTATGAAAAATGAAAACATTTAAGAAAAAGAAACCTGCCATATACGTTACCTTCATGGAAAGTTTTCCTGGAAGTCCTAGCTTGTCCTTCTCTTGCATCCATAGTAGCCCATGGGAACTCTGAAATAACTGTAAAAAACCAAGACAAGGGAAAAACTTACTTAAAAAAATTAGGAGAATTTATAAAGAAGTTTAGCAGCTACTTAGAGTCAACTAGTTTGAGAAATACTACTCTTTATTGCTTAATCAAAAGGAAATTATTAATATTTATCATTTTATAAAATATTTTTGTTTTAAAGTTGTGTATTAGAGAAGGATTTCTATGCCCCCTCCGTTTTTCTTAAGAATAATAGATATAATGTTATTTCGTTATTTTAACACAGAATGAAACTATTTTTAAAAAAAGATACGAGTCTCGGTGTCTATTTCTCATTTAAATTAAGTAATTTTCTATTATGATGACACAAATAGCCCCCATAATGAAACTCATTTCTTTTCCTGTGTTACAGGCACTGCATCAGGAGATCAGTGAATGCTCCATTTGCCTCACCCCACTCTCATTTAACAGCAATTTCCAAAGTGCACCTTCTGGGAAAAGTCCTAACCAGCCTTCTCGTGAGACTGTTCTCTTGTCTTGCTCACATATATTCCATCACACTTGTCTTCTCGCTTTAGAAGAGTTTTCCTTGGGAGAAATATATACTTGTCCTCTGTGCCGCTCTTGCTATCAAAAGAAAATTCTTGAATACTGAATTCATATTCAGGAAAAATGATATAATTCTGGGGGGAAAAAATTACCTTAATTTTGGAAGAATTACATGAGTTTGGGGTTAAGTACTATAGTATAATCAGTTCTCCAAAGAAATAAGCTATTAGCAGTTGTGCATAAGAAATCTAACTATATTTTAAAAGCTGGCTACTCATCCAGTCTTAGTCTTTTGTCTATAAAAAGCAAGTTCAAATTCATGAGTTTAGTAAGTTGAAATAAATGAGGAGTTGTAAGAAAACTGAGACCCAGAGCTTTTATAATTTGCTGATTCGTTATGCTTCTAATTGATCAGTTGGGGTTGCTTATAAGAACCTTAAAATTACTGACCACTTGTCAGTTCCAGTTGGCACCAAGAGGGTGTACCAGATTTTCTATAGCACGCTATCTTTTGAGGCCAGGCCCAAGAGCATTGTTACTTAAAATATAGTAGCTAGTGTCTGACCAACAAACTAACAAACTAAAAGCACTCTTTAAATATGTTCTAATGTTTTCCATCAAGTGTTTTAAAGCCCCATGCTATCCCTAATATTTGTTTTGTAATAATTGCTTTGTTTCTATGTAATATATTACTGTTGTCTTTGAGCACTTTGAATATATAAACCAAAAATATAAAAATAAAATATTCAGTGGTATTTAATGTTCCAACATCAGAAAATGGCAAGTCAAATTTTAATGACTTACAACAATTTATACCTATTTAGCTCATACATAAAGAAAACCAAGAAAATCTTTGATAAGTGTTTTTGACCTCGATTTTGAATGGAATCTTGCAATAAAAACAGTTGTGTCGGTTAGGTTAATACTCACATCTTTAACAGATGAAGTCCCAAATCTCAGTGGCTTACCAAAACAGAATGCTGTTTCTAACTCATACTAAATCCTGCTAAACCGCAGGCTGAGGTGAGGACAAGGGTTCTGCTCTAGTCTTTCAAGGCCCAGGCTCTTTCCATCTTGTGGCTCAGCAGTCTCCTTTACCCTCAGAGTCTTCTAGTGCATTCTCTCATCTAGCTGGGGAAGAGCAGGAGGAGATTTTTATGGCCTGTGGTTGGAAGTAGTACACATCACTCCAGGCACAGCTAACTACAGACGTGGCAAGGAAACAGTGTAGCTCAGCCCAGAGGGAAAAGACAAACATTTGTCACCAAACAGATGCGTAAATGTCAAGGGCGTGAAATAAACCATTATATAATGGGAAGAAGTATGAAAATTTATATTCCTGTTTATTTTTATGTCATCATTTTAAATACTTTTGTGTGTTTTGTGATTTACATTGTATCTAGCTGCACACACACTATGATTTATGAATAAATACGCATATATTGGCACGTCCTCAAACATTTTTTAGTGATGGGGTATCATTACAAAATTTGGAAATGAGTTACAGGAACATTCGAAATAATGAGTATAAACTTTTATTGTAAGGTAGCAGAGGGAAGCTGGGTCAACAAAGCCACAGTGCAGTAGGCCTTGCTTCTCCGGTCACAAGGCCTCGCTTCTCAGGTCAGAAGGCCAAAGAGCAGGCGTTTCTTTTGCTGTCCCCCGATGGATGGAGCACAGGTACACGATGAAGGAGGGCCTGAATGATCTGATTCCGCTACCCTAAACTTTGAATCTGGAGGAGGTGTCCCAGAGATTCATGGATTATTCATGGCGGTGTGGGGGGTGGTAGAGGCTGAGCATTCAGTGACAGCAAGTGGCCAGTCAGGGTTGTGCCAGTGGCCATGTGCTAATGCCATTGTCCTGGTGGCATAATCATATTTGCTGCTGCCAGACTCTCATAGTTCCTGCCTGTTCTCTGAACTCTTTTCTCCAGTTTTCCCATTGAATCTATGAGCTATCACATATTCTTCTAATTACCTCCTTTCACGCTTGAGTTGGCAGAATCTGTTTCTGTTCTTTGCAACCAAGTACTTTCCTGACATAGAAATTAGTGTTAGTTGTAAACCACAGTCAGGGAAATCATTGGGGATGGAAAGCTGGAATTGGCTATAGGACTTAATCGGGGATGAAGGCAGTAAAAATCCCAGGAGTATTCAGAGATGAGTCACAGGCACTTTTTGTGGTAGTTAATGGCAAACCAGGTGATTTTCTTACTGAAATGTGGTCATCTGGAATGGCACACTCACGGAACACTTTGGGAGACCAAGTTTCCACCAGAGGACAATTTAAAGATAATGACAAATTTCAGTTCAAGTCACATTCTGGCTGTGCCAAAAGAACATAACTTCATCCCTTGCAGCTGTGGGGCTGAAGTGGTAATAAAAAAAAAAAAGAAAAAGAAAACTTCAACCCAAATTACATCATTAGTTGAATTCACAGCTTCATCAGATCTCTTATATAAAACATTAGAGCATTGATCAAAAACAAGCTGGGGCCCTGAGGAATGTGAGCTCATGGGAGGATCCAGAGGACTTGGAGTGCCCATGAGGTCTGCTTGTCAGATGCAGCAGTCCCTACTGTGATGAAGCTGTTTAACCCACTTGCCTGAGTGAGCTACCTTGCTAATTCTCCTAGTGCCCCCTCCTCACACACCCCTTTTTGTCTTTAAACACATGTAATTAGGAGTCTGGAGTCCCTGGGCAGTGCAGCTAGTTAAGTGCTAGACTACTAGCAGAATGATTGGTGGTTTGAATTCACCCAGAAGCCTCAGAAGACAGGCCTCGCGATCTGCTTCCAAAAGGGCCCAGCCTTGAAAACCCTATGGAGCAATTCTACTCTGCACACGTGGGGTCACCATGAGTTGGAATCGACTCAATGGCAACCAACAACAACAATTAAGAGCCTAGCATGCCCTGGGTTGTAGGCAGTTACTATATCAAGTCAAAAATAGAAAGCTTAGAGATGTGTGAGACTGGAGGCATTTTTTAACAATAAAGGTTACAATCTACAATGAGGATATAGCTATCACAAATCTTTATCACCAAGTAACATCGCAGTAAATACTGTACATGAATTAAAAATGGGTTAGTTATAAAAAGAAGACATAAAAATAGTGGTAGGAGAATTTAGCTGACCTGCAGATGCCTAAGCCAGAAATAAATGCTGTTTGTTGTAATCTGGCTGCTGCTGGCTGCATTTGATAAGGTACTTCAGAGCAGAATTTAGATGGAATTTTGAGAACCCGGAAACCGTAGGCTTGGAAAATGAAACCATTTCTACCAAATCAAAGACGTGGCTGTATGACACAGCTTCAGGCAACAGAGCAAATCCAGGGTGCTTCCAGTCAGATACAGACTCATAGTACACACCAAATGAAGGGTGTGGCGCTAACATCCTCTGTTAGACTCTGAAAGGATTAAGGTGACTTGTAGTAGAACCTGTCAGCTGGACAAAAGGCCTCCCAGAAAGATTAATGGTGTGGTCCCACAGAAACCCTATAAGCCAAAATACCCACAACTATGTCTATAGAGAGAGGTATATTTTATTTATTTTAATTGAACCTTAGATGAACATTTACAGAACAGTTTCTCATTAAACAGTTATTACACATATTGTTTTATGACAATAGTTAACAAGACCATGACATGTCGACACTCTCCCATCTCAAACTTAGGTTCCCTATTACCCACTTTCCTGTCTCCTCCTGCCTTCTAGTCCTTGCCCCTGAGCTGATGTGTCCGTTTAGTCTCGTTTTGTTTTATGGGGCTGTCTAATCTTTGGCCCAATGGTGAACCTCGGGAGTTTACTAAGCTAAAATGGTGTCCGGGGGCCATACTCTTGGGGTTTCTCCAGTCTCTGTCAGGCCAGTAGGTCTGCTCTTTTTTTGTGAGTTACAGTTTTGTTCTACATTTTTCTCCAGCTCTGTCTGGTACCCTCTGTTGTAATCCCCGTCAGAGCAGTCAGTGGTGGTAGCTGGGCACCATCTAGTTGTACTGGACTCAGTGTGGTGGAGGCTGTGGTAGTTGTGATCTATTACTCCTTTGGACTAATCTTTCCCTTGAGTCTTTTGTTTTCTTCATTCTTCCTTGCTCCTGAAGGGATGAGACCAGTGGAGTATCTTAGATGGCTTAAAAAAAGACCCCAGATGCTACTCACCAAGGTAGAAAGAAGAACATTTTCTTAACTGCGTTATGCCAATTGAGCTAGAAGTCCCCCGAGACCATGGTCCCCATAGCCCTCTACCCAGCAATTCGGTCCCTCAGGGAGTTTGGAAGTGCCTAAGGAGCTTCCATGACCTTTCCTTGTACATGTTGTGCTGGCTTCCCCAGTATTATCTACTGTCTTACCTTTCACCAAAGTTACCACTTATCTATTATCTATTTAGTATTCCCCCACCCCACCCCTCTCATCTCTTGTAACCAACAAAGATTGTTTCTTTCTGTGTATAAACTTTTTCATGAGTTTTTACAATAGGGGTCTCATACAATATTAGTCCTTTTGTGATTGACTTATTTCACTCAGTGTAATGTCCTCCAGTTTCATCCATGTTATAAGATGCTTCATAGATTCATCGTTGTTCTTTATCATTGCATAATACTCCATCGTGTGTATGTAGCATAGTTTGTTTATCCATTCATCTGTTGATGGGCATCTAGGTTGTTTCCATCGTTTTGCTATTGTGAACAATGCTGCCATGAACATGGGTGTGCATATGTCTATTCGTGTGACGGCTCTTATTTCTCTAGGATATATTCCTAGAAGTGGGATTGCTGGATCATATAGTATTTCTATTTCTAGCTTTCTAAGGAAGCGCCATATCATTTTCCAAAATGGTTGTATCATTTTGCATTCCCACCAGCAGTGCATAAGAGTTCCGATCTCCCCGCAGCCTCTCCAACGTTTGTTATTTCCAGTGTTTTTGATCTGTGCCAGTAATGCCGGGGTGACATGGTAACTCATTGTGGTTTTGATTTGCATTTCTCTAATGGCTAGTGATCGGGAGCATTTCCTCATGTGTCTTTTGGCCGCGTGAATGTCTTCTTTGATGAAGTGTCTGTTCATTTCCTTTGCCCACTTTTTATTGGATTATTTGTCTTTTTGTTGTAGAAGTATTGAATTTTCTTATACATTTTAGAGATTAGACATTTGTCTGACTTGTAATGTCCAAAAATTTTTTCCCAGTCTGTAGGTTCTCTTTTTACTCTTTTGCTGAAGTCTGTTGATGAGCATAAGGGTTTAATCTTTAGAAGATCCCAGTTATCTAGCTTATCTTCTGGAGTTTGTATGTTGTTGGTTATGGTTTGTATACTGTTAATGCTGTGTATTAGGGCCTCTAGCGT